TTGGCTGTGAGCTCGGTTCAGCCTTCATGACAAGCAGGTTGTTGTTGTTGTTGTTGTTATTTTATTTTGTTTTTTTACGGAGTTTCGCTCTTTGCTGCCCAGGCTGGACTGCAGTGGCGCCATCTTGGCTCACTGCAACCTCCACCTCCCAGGTTCAAGCGATTCTCCTGCCTCAGCCTCCCAAAGTGCTGGGATTACAGGCCTGAGCCACCGCGCCCGGCCACCAAGCAGGTTTTTAAAGGCAAACTTCTTCCTCAGTCAGGTGTGGCAGGCCCTGAGGGGGAAGCTGGGTGTCCCCACTCAGATCCAGGCCCGAGTGGGCTGGGCGGCTGCAGAGCCAGTCACTTGGGCTGCGCAGGATGGGATCCCTGACTCCGACCTCTGTCCTGACACGCCCCAAGCGGCAGCAATAAAGCCCCAAGCAGCCTGGGCCTGGGCAGGAGGAGCTGGGCCGGGTGCCAGATACTGGGATCAGTCACTGCAGCTCCCTGAGCACTCTCTCCACAGAGACGGGGACCCAGACATGAGGAGGTAATGCCCACCATCCCTGAGCCCCGATCCCCACCCCACCCAAACCTGGAGGCCTGGCCCTTAGCCAGAGGGGGCCCGGCCGTGCTGCGCTCAGGGACCTGGTTCAGGGGAGTGTGCAGGTGGGAGGGAGAAGGAGGGGCCCTCTGAGGGTCTGGGGTCTGCCACCAGGCTCCACCTCCTCTGGGGCTCCAAACGCATGAGACAGTGCCTTGCCCCTTGGTTCCCCTGGCCTGGTGGAGAATCACCCAGAACAAGGAAGGGAGTGGTGCCAGGCTGAAACCAGCAGGCCTGTGACTGCCCAACAGGAAGGGGGCTGGGGCCAGGGCGTGGCTGTGATTTGGAGCTCAGGGAAGCATCCGGGTTCCTGCTGGATCCTGGAATCAGAGGCTGCCTTCCTTCTGTGGGGGTGTCCCTCTTCCCCCTCCTTCTGTGGGGGTCCCCCCCCTCCTGTGGAGGTGCCCTCCTCCTCTTCCTCCTCCTCTAAGCCAGGGCCCTCCCTGCCCCTCCTCTCCTAGTGTTTCTCCCTTGTAGAGAGGTGGCCTCTGGGTGGCGTGGGGACCCTTTGGTGCCCAGAGCCATTTGTCTGGAGAGGGGACCCTCGGAGTCCCACAGTCTGGCTGCTTGGCAGTCACCACCAACCATTGCTCTAGGGGCTACTGTGTCCTGAATTCTGGGCCCCCAGGCTGTGTGTCGGGGAGGTGGGCTCCAGGGGTGGCCCAGGCAGCACGGCAGTGGGAGTGGGGTCCAATGCTCGGACAAGAGCCCCTGCCCAGCATCAAGAACCAGCTGGGGGTCCTGAGGAGAAGCAGGGCCCCTGAACCAGACCAGGCCAGGCCCCGACCCCGGGCTGTCTGGGGCATCCCCCCTGCCCTTTGACCTCCTCCCATTGTGGCTGAGTCACCCAGAGAAGGGGCAAAGGTCCCTGTGGAGCTGCAATCCAGGCCTGTAGGGCGTCCCAGACACTGACTCTTCTGCCTCCGCAGAAGTAGCTGGGATTACAGGCTTATGCCACCACCCCAGCTAAGTGGTTTTTTTTTTTTTTTTTTTTTTGAGACAGTCTCGCTCTGTCGCCCAGGCTGGAGTGAGTGCAGTGGCTCCATCTTGGCTTACTGCAACCTCCACCTCCCAGGTTCAAGCAATTCTCTGGCCTCAGCCTCCCAAGTAGCTAGGATTACAGGCACCTGCCACCACGCCTGGCTAAT